TGTGTGTGTGTGTGTGTGTGTGTGTGTGTGTGTGTGTGTGTGTGTGTGTTCTCATATTCGCTATACACAATTCGACAAAGAAAAGCATGGCTGTGCAAGACTGTTTCGTCGGGCTTTCACCAACTCATCAGGAGGCTGAACCTGGACAGAGTCTGCCCGAGATGCATTTGACTGATGGATAAGGACTCACCACATCGCCCAGAGTTAGCCATATGCGTGTGTGTGTGTGTGTGTGTGTGTGTGTGTGTGTGTGTGTGTGTGTGTGTGTGTGTGTGGAAACACATGTAGTTTGTCATCAGCATCTTAAAAAAACATGCATAATAATACCATCGCAACACGCATCTGAGTAAGTCAGGTTTGAAGACAATTCTCAACACAATACACCTAAACAAACCCAGCAGAACGATGGAAAGCAAAAAAGACACATCTTGTTCAAGTCTTAAACTGAAAAAGAGGGGGAAGGAGGACTGAAAAACAAGGGGAGGAGGACTGAGAAAAAATAAGGTAATGACAGACTGTTTCATCGGACTTGCACAGACTCATCAGGAGGCTGAACCCTCGACACTCTGTGGAATCCCCGTATTGATGCTTCGGGTCATGAACCCTTTCAACCCGAAGCATCGAACGTAGACAGCCAACAGGTGACACCAACCTATAGCAGAACAAGCCAGCAAGGCAGCAAGGCAGCAAGGCAGCAAGGCAACAAGTCGGCAATGCTAACAAGGCAGCGCAACTACACAGCAGACAAGCAAACTGCATGGAAAGACAATGCAAGCAAATGGGCAGCAAGGCAACAAAGCAGTGAAGCACAGGGCAGCACTGACAAAGCAGCCAAACTACACGGCAAACAAGCATACTTCATGGAAAGACAAGGCACGCAGATGGGCAGCAAGGCAACGACGCAGTGAGGCACAAGGCAACACTAACAAGGCAGCCAAAATGCACGGCAAGCAGACAAGCTGCAGGCAAAGACATGGCACGAAGGCTCTCTTTTGAACTATCGGTTTGTGATATTCATTTGAAATGATGTTTAAGGGACGATAAACCCACTTTTCAGCAGGTGCTGCTCCCCACCAGTAGATGGAGCCTCCTTGAGAGTGCTACTGGTGGTGGCTGCTCCTTTCACCGCTCCTAGCATTACCTCGTTTTTTTTTTGTTTTTGTTTTTTTTTGTTTTTTAAAGAGGTGCTTAGTCAGACACCCAAAAAGTACTGAGGAAGACATACATACATATGACTGTGAGGACCCGTATAGGATGGTACATAGTAGAATAGAGTATATAATTGAACAAGAGAGGACACTCTCAGCTCAGACTGAGTATCATAGAGGAGAAGGTCTGTAGCACGGGTGTTATCGTGCTCCTATTCGATTTGGTTATGCTGCGATACTAAACCTCTAACTGCATTCATCTCTCTCTCTCTCTCTCTCCTGTCTCTTATACACATCTAGATGTGTATAAGAGACAGCTCCCTCACTCTCTCTCAATCTATCTGTGTGTGCATGCGTAC